GGCGTTTTGGCCCAAGGCCGACCCCGCGCGGCAGAGCCGAGGTTCGCGGAGCGGTTCGGCCCTCGGCGGATGGCGGCGCCGGCGCGGAGCTCTGCGGACGACGAGCGCGCGTTCGAGGCGGCGGCGGAGTGGGTGCGGTCGCCTGCCGCCAAGGGCCTGTCGAGCGCCGACAAAGCTCACCTCCATTTGAAGAAGAACAAGCGGTATAAACATACACTTCTCTGTTCTCCGCGCGGATTTCCTTGATCGGCGCTGGCCCACCTGGCGCGCGGGGTCCAGCGCCGATCCTAGAAATCCGAGCGGACATCCGGAAGTTTATGTTTATTGTAGTGGCCTTCGGCCAGTGCCGCCGATCCGGGTCGCTCGGGGTTATTCTCCAGACGCAGAAATTATGGGCGCACACTCAAACGCACACACACAGTCACACCACTTAACCTGCGCCGCAGACATGCGCACACAGCATCACCCACACACACATACTAGTTGGGAAACGCTCCTGTAGTACTAGTAGTAGTATTAGTAGTAGTAGTAGTAGTAGTAGTAGTAGCAGTAGTAGTAGTAGTAGTAGTAGTAGTAGTAGTAGTAGTAGTAGTAGTAGTAGTAGTGGTTGTGGTAGTAGTGGTAGTAGTAGTAGAGGCCTCGTTCCGCGGCTTCTCTCGACTTCCCGCGGTCTCTCTCAAGTTTCGAGCACGCGGTGAGTTTCACGATATATGTGTGTGTATGTACGCGTGCATGCATGTATGCATGCATTGATCATGTGTGCCTGTGTGTAGGTACGTATGTATGTATGTATGCTTGTGCGCGTATGTATGTATTTAGTTTGTATGTATGTTTGTATGTGTGTATGATAATATGTGTGTATGTGTGTGAATGTAAGTATGTATGTCTGGAAGATTGTTTTTCTATGTATGCAAATGTGTTTAAATGTAGGTATGTATGCATGTGTGTATGGATGTGCGTTTGAAGAGCGAGGATGTTTCAAAGAAGAGGCACTCGGTGACGCGATCGTTGAGGGATAGGAGTGAGGTCGCAGAGGAGGAGGAGGAGAATGAGGAAGAGGCGATAACTTGAAGGAAAACGATGAGACGGAGGACATCCTGCCGGTGGCGCCCTGGGCGGTGCCGCGGAAGAAACCGGGGGCCTGCCGGAGGCAGTCTGGAGGCCTCTGGGGAGCTGTTTTGGGGCCTCTTGGAACCTCTTTTGGGCCTCTTGTGGGCTTCTTGGGGCCCCTTGGGGGTCTCTTGGGGCCTCCTGGGGGCCTCTTGGGGCGGAAAGCTCGGTTCTTTCGGTTCGTGGTCCCCCTCTTGGGCCCCTCTTGGGGCTCTCTTGGGGCCTTCTTGGGCTGTCCAGAGGCCCTCTTGGGCCGTCTTGGGGCCCTCTTGGGCCGTCTTGGGGCTCTCTTGGGCCGTGTTGGAAGCATCGTGGGCCGTCTTGGGACGGACTTGGGGGCCTCTTGGGCCGTCTTCGAGCGTCGGACGCCCGAAAAGGCAAGAACGCTAAAAACCCTGAGAAAACCAATGAAAATCAACGATTCTGGCCTCTTGGGGCCCTCTTGGGAGGCCTCTTGGAAGCTTCTTGGGGCGTCTTGGAGACACCTTGGGCCGTCTGGAGGCCATCTCGGGCGTCTTGGAGCGATTTTTCGGCGACTCGGGGCCCTCTTGGAACCCCTTGGGGGTCTCTTGGGCCCCCCCCCTCCTCCAAAGCGCCGGAAAAAGCGGAGCATGGCGCCCCCCCCCCCCCTATCTTCCACTCCCCCGGAGCGGCCCCGGGGTTCGCCGGAAACTCGCACCCCCCCCCCCCCCCCCACCCCCCCTTCCCCGGCAGAGCCACCCCGGCGACCCCCCCAGAGGCTGAAGCTCAGCCTCGAGGCTGTAGCTGAGACTCCTTGAAACTCACACGCCGGATCGGCGGATATGCAGTTGTCCTTCTTCTGCCCATGGCATCTTCAGGCAGGCGAGGGACGGGGACTGCACCGGCACCAGGCCGAAGGGCCAGGAGGCGAGGCGCAAGTGGGATGCCTGGGGCAGGCAGCGGGGCGCGTCGAGGGAGGAGGCCAGGGCGAGGTACCTGGCCTTGCTGGACGAGCTGGAGCCCTCCTGGAGGAGCACCCTCCGTGCCGCCGACGTGGCCGACGCCGGCCCGCACCAGGAAGGCCCGCGGGAGAGCGGCGGCAGCGAGCTGGACAGCCGCCTCGCCAGGGTGCGCAGGACCGCCGAGGCGGGCGCCACCTTCGAGAGCGAGCCCGCCCAGAGCGTGGCCGACGTGCGGAGCGAGGCCCAGGCCGCCTGCGACGAGGAGGCGGTGTCCTGCCGCGGCAGCGTGCGGAGCATCGGGGCCGACGTGTTCGGCTCGCCCAGGCTCGGCGAGGGCAGCCCGGGCGCCGCCGCGGGCCGGGGGGCCAGCGCGCCCAGCGCCGAGGGCCATGCGAGCTCGGGGCCGGAGGCCAAGCCACGCGTGGCCGCACTGCCTGTGCCACAGGCCGCGGAGCCCGACCCTCCAGTGGAGGAGTGGGCCGCCGCGCCGGCGGCTCCGGGTGTGCCCTCGGCGCCCGCGGCCTCGCGAGGGGCCTCCAGCAGCGAGGACCCTCTGCCGGCATTGGTGATCGAGGGCCTGGACGACGACGTGGCGAAAGCGGGCAGGGGCCCGGTCCAGTACAGCCTGACCGGCCCTCTGCGGGCCGAGCGGGCGGCCCACGGCGAGGGAGAAGGTGGCAGCATGCCGCATCGGTACAGCATCATGTCCAGCCCTTCGCAGACGAGTCCAGGCAACATTGAGGTGTCGGTCGATACGAGCTCGAGTCCAGGCATCATAGAGCAGTTCGAGTCCAATTGGGCGAATGCCGGATCGGCTGCTGGCGCCAACACCCTCGGCCCCAAGGCTGTGGTGGAGGAGTCAGAGTGGGCCGGGCTCGCGGACTCCAGTGACGAGGAGGCCCACGCAGCTCAAGCGTCAGGCATGGGGCGCCCGGCGAGTGGCCCTGGTAGTTCTGGGGTGCAGGCGGACGTTGTCCCCAAGGCCGTGGTGGTGGAGGAGTCAGAGTGGGCCGGCCTCGCGGACTCCAGTGACGAGGAGGCCCAGGCAGCTCAAGCGCCGGGCACGGGGCGCCCGGCGAGTGGCCCTGGTAGTTCTGGGGTGCAGGCGGACGTTGTCCCCAAGGCCGTGGTGGTGGAGGAGTCAGAGTGGGCCGGCCTCGCGGACTCCAGTGACGAGGAGGCCCAGGCAGCTCAAGCGCCGGGCACGGGGCGCCCGGCGAGTGGCCCTGGTAGTTCTGGGGCGCAGGCTGTCGTTGTCCACAAGGCCGTGGTGGAGGAGGAGTCAGAGTGGGCCGGCCTCGCGGAGGTCTCCAGTGACGAGGAGGCCCAGGCAGCTCGAGCTTCAGGCGTGGGGCGCCGTGCGAATGGCCTCGGGGCCGTGATGGAGGAGGAGTCAGAGTGGGCCGACCTTGCGGACTCCAGTGACGAGGAGCCCCCCGCAGCAAAAGCGTCAGGTGGGCGCCAGGCGAATGGCCCAGGGGCCATGGTAGAGGAGGAATCAGAGTGGGCCGGCCTCGAGGACTCCAGTGACGAGGAGGCCCACGCAGCTAGAGCTTCAGGCACGGGGCGACGGGCGAGTGGCCCCAGCAGTTCCGGGGTGCAGGCAAGCAGTCAGGATTCCGCCGATTTGAGCGTGCCTCGAGAGCCCCGTGAAGCCAGGTCGGCGCAGGCACCCAGCACTTCCAACGGGGACGCCGCCGTGGACATGGACCTGGCTGGTAGGCCCATCGTCCAGGTTCCTCAGTCGCGGCCTGGCGGCAGCAGCTTCGGGGGCGCGGCGAGCCCATTCCTCTCCGTCCTGAGCTGCTTGGTGCTGCTGGGGGTTCTGGTCGCCATAGCGCCGAGGCATAACCACCACGGCGCTGGCTCGCCGACTCCGGCTCTCAGGCCCGCCACTGCACCCGCGCCCGCACCCTCGGCGGCCCCGTCGCCGCAGCCGCCCGAAGCGCCCGCGCCGGCGGCGCCAGATCCTGCGGCGACCGTACCCACCCCGGCGCCCGTGGCACCTTCCGGCGATGGGCACACGGGCTGGAAGTTAGAGGCCGAGGTCCAGCAGATGCGCCGCGCCTTGGGCGAGGCGCGCCGCATGCGCGAGCAGGTAGCAACCGACGCCTCTGCGGAGTCCGAGCGGCTGCGGGACACGCGGGCCAAGTTGGCGGGCGCCCGCCAGGAGGTTGCTCAGACCAGCCAGGACTCGGCGGATTACCGCGCCAGGTGCGAGGTCATCCAGAGGGCTCTCGCAGCTGGCCCAGGGGCTCTGTGGCCGAGGGTGGACGGGCTGCCGCACCAGAGATGCCTCGCCGTGGCCGCGGGGCTCCTTGGCGCGCTCGGCACAGTGGGCCCCTCAACGGCGAGGTGCTGCTTCCAGGGCTTGGCGGGGCTCCTCACGTTTGGCTGCCTGCTCGTCGTCTCCATCTGCTACGCGGAGGCCCTGGCTGGGCTCGAGGGCCTCTCCGCAGAGAGCTCGTGGCCGGCGGTCCACGTGTACGTCATAGGAAGAACCAAAGACGGCATTCGCGCAAACTTGCGGAGGTCCGCGCGGATGTCCTCTTGTGTCGTCGCTTCGGCCCTCAATGGGGCCGCGCTGGAGGCGCCGACGGCGGCCCCGTGCCGACTCCAGGAGTCCTCGTCAACCTCCAGACGTTTGTGTGTGTATTTTGGCATCGCTCGGACGTGTGCATTTTTTCCTTCGGCGAGGACCATCGAGGAGCATCCCTGATCCGTTGGCGAAGAGAAAACCATGCACGAGACCGAAAGAAGCACAGGGAATGGACGTCCTATGTTGGGCATCGCCTCGTCACGATGACGATCTTAGGGATTCCCTCAGCTTCTGAGGGTGCATCCCTCCCCAAGATTGTCAGCGCCTTTTGGCGTGTCAATCTCAGGGATAGGGCTAAGTTCGAGGCTGGTTAGTTTGTGTGCATGCCGCCTTCGGTTCTTCCAGTCGTCCTGAAGGGCCGCGCGTCGGTCTTCACCTGCCGCCTGTGGTGTGGCGTCGCCGTGGTGGCCACCGCGCTCCGCGGGCTCCGCCGCTGCAGGGCGGCGGGGAGGGCGGCGGGCGCCGACGAGCTGAGGCGACCGCTGCTGGGCTGAGAGCCCCGCCGGGCGGGCCTGAGAGGGGAAGGGCGGACAAGCCGAGTAGTTTGGCAGAGTTGCGTGCAGCAGTGACACATGTAGTGGAACCAAAAGTGACACAAACATGAAAACTCGGAGGTCCGCGCGGATTTCTCGGATCGGCGCTGGACCCCCCTCCCTGGCGCGCGGAGCGCGCCAGGGGCGGCGCCGGAGGCGCCGCCAGGAGGCCCCAACACGTGACTCGTCGCGTCTTCCAGCCAACCGCGTCGGGGCTTCGGGCAGGCCTCCCGGAGCCCTCCGGGAGGCCTCTGGGGAGTCTGGGGGCTGTCTGCGTGGGCCTCTCGGAGGCTCCTGGGGGGTTCCGCAGTGCGCCTGCCCTCCCCGGTGGAGGAGGAGGAGGAGGAGGAGGAGGAGGAGGAGGAGGAGGAGGAGGAGGAGGGGAGGAGGAGGAGGAGGAGGAGAGGAGGAGGAGGAGGAGGAGGAGGAGGAGGAGGAGGAGGGAGGAGGAGGAGGAGGAGGAGGAAAGGAGGAGGAGGAGAGGTGGAGAGGAGGAGGAGGAGGAGGAGGAGGAGGAGGAGGAGGAGGAGGAGGAGGAGGCGGAGGCGGAAGAGGAGGAGGGAGGGAGGAGGAGGAGGAGGAGGAGGAGGAGGCGGAGGCGGAAGAGGAGGAGGAGGAGGAGGAGGAGGAGGAGGAGGAGGAGGAGGAGGAGGAGGAGGAGGAGGAGGAGGAGGAAAGGAGGAGGAGGAGAGGTGGAGGAGGAGGAGGAGGAGGAGGAGGAGGAGGAGGAGGAGGAGGAGGAGGAGGAGGAGGAGGAGGAGGCGGAGAGGAGGGAGGAGGAGGAGCAGGAGGAGGAGGGAGGAGGAGGGAGGAGGAGGAGGAGGAGGAGGAGGAGGAGGAGGAGGAGGGGAGGAGGAGGAGGAGGAGGAGGAGGAGGAGGAGGAGGAGGAGGAGGAGGAGGAGGAGGAGGAGGAGGAGGTGGAGGAGGATGAGGAGGAGGAGGATGAGGTGGTGGAGGAGGAGGAGGGGCAGGTGGAGAGGAGACGCTTGAGCACTAAGTACCGGAAAGAAGAGTGCAGCCTCTTGGGGCGTTCGGGTGCCTCGGAGCCGCCGTTGGCGCGATGGTTCGTCCGAGCTCTCTCGAAGAGGCTCGGCTGAGCCGTCGTGGGGCAGTCTGGGATGTAGCACTTCTGGGGCGCCGTCTTTGGAGGGTTCTCGAGCCGCCCTGGGCCGTCCTGGAGGCTTCTTGGGGCTCTTTTGAGCATTCCCGAGGCCATCTGAAGCCGAAGAGCTTGGGAGTCGCTTCAGGTGCCTCCAGGCTGTGGCATCCAGGAGCCTGGCTGCAGAGCTCCTCGGGTGCCTCTCTGGAGCTTCGCGGGGCCTCTCGGGACATGATGAAGCCTTGTGTGCCTTTGGGGCCCGTGTAGGCTGGCATGTGGGCCGTCTTCTTCCTCCTCCTCCTCCTCCTCCTCCTCCTCCTCCTCCTCCTCCTCCAGGTCGTCTGGGAGCTCTCTTGGGGCGGTGGCCCGTTTTGGGGGGGAGGCGCCTTCTGTCGCCTGTCGCGAGCTGGGGGGGTGGTTGGTACGAGGCCTGATCCCGCACCGTTCGGCCAGGGCGATCCGTCTGCACATCTAGGCCATCAATGATGGGCCGATGTTCCACCACCACTGCCATAGGTAGGAGAGGGAGGAGGAGGAGGAGGAGGAGGAGGAGGAGGAGGAGGAGGAGGACCAGTTTAAGCCAAGAGTCATCAACGGTGTTGGGATAAACCCTCCCTCCAAGCTCCCTCTTCAGAGGCCCCTAGAACGGTTCATTATCACAGATGGAATTGCCTCGTTGGAAGACAACCGTTTGAAGACCCTGAAGCATGCCATAGCATTGTTCTCGGGATTCCAACGCCACGGATCAACCTGATGGTTGCGTCTTGACGATCCGGAATCGTGTCAGAACGTCAGAACGCCGTTCCTGGGATTTCAACGCCGCGAATCAACGTAACTGTTGAGTCTCATAATCCCTGAATCCTTCCAAGATGCCGTTTCTGGTACGTCGCTCATGGGAATCTGCGAAACTCTGGCACATGTTTAAAACGAATATGCGCGGCGCTAAGGCGAGAACCACAGATTGAAAAGGAGCCGCCCTCATTCCGTCAAGCTCTTAGAATTTATTAAAACGAGTGTGCAAACGAGTGTGCGCGGCGCTAAGGCGAGAACCACATCAAACAAACGGCCCGCCCTCCATAGTGAAACTCTTGCAATTGTTTGAAAAATGTGCGCTGCGCTAAGGCGAGAGCCACATTTTGAAAACGGTTTTCCCTCAAGCCGTGAACCTCTTGCAAATGTTTAAACCGAATGTGCGCGACGCTAAGGCGAGAGCTACATTTTGGAAACGACCCGGGTCAAGAAAGGTGAGGAAGTCTCAGATGGAACGCCCCGCCCACTCTAAAAAATTGGCCTCGGGGTGCGACAGGGAGAAGTTATCTATACGGGAAAGGAGGAGGAGAAGGAGGATGAGGAGGAGAGGAGGAGGAGGAGGAGGAGGAGGAGGAGGAGGAGGAGGAGGAGGAGGAGGAGGAGGAGGAGTGGAGGAGGAGGAGGACCTCCCCATCCTCCCTTCTCCCACATGCTACCCATGGTAGTGCTGGTGGAATGTTTGCCCATCAATAGAACCCATCTGGATCTTGAGGGGGGGCACGGGGGGGAGGAGTAGGAGGGATCCTGGAGCACCGGTCTGCGCGAGGAGATGGGTCAGCGAGGTGGAAGGGAATGACGACGATGATGTTGCTGCTGATGATGGTGATGATGATTGTTCGGATGATGATGGTGATGTTGTTGTTGATGGTGATGATGATGATGATGATGATGATGATGATGATGATGATGATGATGATGATGATGATAGTGGTGATGATGATGATGGCGATGATGATGATGCTGCGGAAGGTTGTGATGACGGTGGTGGTGGTTATGATAATGGCTATGATAATGACGATGGTGATGATGATGACGATGATGTTGATGATGGCTTTGGCTGTGGTGGTGGCGGTGGTGATGATGGTGATGATAGTGGTGATGATGATGATGATGCTGATGATGATGATGATGATGATGATGATGATGATGATGATGCGGATGCTTGTGTTGATAATGACGATGATGCTCATGGTGATGATGCTGCTGATGATGCTGATGATGATTATGATGCTAATGATGACGATGCTGATGATGATCATGCTGCTGATGGTTATGATGGTGATGATGGTGGTGATGATGAGCGGAGAATGAGGAGGAGGAGAATAATGATGATGGGCGCCCATTCGACCTTCTGGAGGCTTCGGGGGTCTCTCGTGGCCCATCATGTGGCCCTCTGGCCCGCGGGATATTCATCCGATCAGCCCTTGGCCGCCTCGGGTATCCTCCTACCGCTCCAGAACCGTCGGTACTCGATGCTGTGGGCCCATTGAACGATATCCACTGTTCCATGTCGAGGAGACGAAGACACCGAGGGCTCTACACTCAGCGCCTAGCGGCACAGTAGCGGATGTAGGAAGGCTTGATGGGAATAGGCGCAGGACAAAAGAACGGATTTGCAGGGGGGAGGTTGCCGGGTATCTGACAAGACGAGCAGGACAAGGAGGGGAAGAAACAAGGGAACGGTTCGGAGAGGGTCGCTGGGAGAACTGATGGGTGGGAGGGTAAAGGTGGGGATTGCCTACGTGCCCAAACTCGCAAACATGTCCATCTAGGCCTGGTCCACACAGGCCTGTGATGGCCTAGGCGGCTAATCTTACCACCCAGGCCGTCTAGTCTGTCCACCGATCTAGTCCATCTAGGTCATCTAGAAAACCTCAATGGACCAGATGGCTGCCCAGCTGGCCAGACGACCACCTGACCCATCTAGGCCATACATGCACAATGGCGTGGGCGGCTTCGATGTATCAGGTGGCTGCACAGCAGCTCAGGCCGCCATGCAGTCCATCTGAGCCATCCAGGCATCCTAAATGACCTAGATGGCCAAGACGACTAGATGGCTGCTCCGCCGCCCAGTCGGCCACCTAGTCCATCAGAGCCATCCAGGTATTCTGAATGGCTTGGGCGGCCTAGATGCTTCAGATGGCTGCCCAGTCGGCCATCTAGTACATCTAGGCCGCCCAGGCAGTCTAGATGGCCTGGATTTGATAGATCGCTGCCCAGCCGCCCGCACGACCATGTAGTTTATCTAAGCCATCCAGGCATTCTGGATGGACGAAACGGCTGGCTGCCCTCTGCCTCGGCGGTCATCCAGTCCTTCCACAGGACAACCTGCAGGGACGTCAGAGGAGGGGCCGTGGGGCGGAACCGTGTGTTAATTACAGCATCGCTGATCCATCCTCGGCTTCCTCTGGGCCTTCCCCCCCTGCTGATCCTCCGCTCTGGGATCCCCGAATGGTCTGGCATGAGGTCTTCCATGGGGGGTCACTCGCACAAGTACCACAGAAGCATTGCCAGAGAGGTAGCAGGCATCCCAGCACGCACAGCGTGCCGAGAGCGCGGTGAGGGACTGTGACCGCAGGAGAATCAAGCTCGCAGGGCTTGGGGTACCAGGCAGGGTTGTTCGCCATGGTACGCCCAACATTGTCTCCAGAGGGCCCCGAGAGGCCTTCAGAGCCCCCCAAGATGCCCCAGAAGGGTTCAAGCACCCCAACCGGGTCCGTATAGGCACCAAGAGGGCTCCAGGACGTTCGGAAATTGCCCCAAGAGGGCTCCGAGACGCCCGAAGAGGCCTCCGAGAGCGCCCGAAGAGCTACAGAAAGCGAAAGAAAGCCCGGACATGCTCCCCAGAGTGACCCCGGAAGGTCACAATGACCCCGCAGGGAACCGAAGTACGGTCCTGATGGTGATCATGATAGATCCTGAAGAAGTGGATGGGGACGGACCAGAAGTTCTGCCCAGAATGGCGTCTACAGGCGCAGGAGGGCGGCGTGTTCGGAAGAAGAGGCAACGGTTTTCATAGTCCTCCTGCTCATCGTCCTTGTCACCCTCTCTCCTTGTCGGTCTCGTCCTCCTCGTCGTCCTCGTCCTTCTCGTGAATATCATCCTTCTCCTCGTTCTTCCCGACCTCGCCCTCCTCATCCACGCTGTCGCTGACGTATCCCACGCTGTCAGCATCCTGGTCATCATCGTCATTCTTGCCGTCCTGCTTTTCCTCGAGCTCTTCCTCCTCGTCCTCTTCCTTCTGCGAGCCCCCCTCCTCGTGGGCCTCCCGGTCCTCGCCGCTGGTTCTCTTCGACCTCCGGGCGGTCCTCCTCGCAATCCGCCCTCTTGCCGTCCTCCTCCTGGATGAGTTCCTCCTCGCCCTTCGCCCCTATCGCCCCCTTTCGCCCTCCTTTGCGCCTCCGCTCCTCATCAACGCTGTCCTCCTCGGCCTCGGCGCTGTCCTTGTGAGACGCTCATGGCATGCAGCGGGCTGCGGGCGGTCCGAGGATCACTGGGCATCTACTCTCTGTCATCGGTCCTCCACGAGGTCGCACGTGGCGGATCCATCGGGAATGGGTGCAGTGTGTCGCCTAAAGGTGCGGCCTTCGTGCTCATGCCATCCGCATCCGCAGGGCGCCGTCAACGAGCCTGGCAGACTCATGCATGCCACGTGCTCCAAGAGATGCATTCATCGGGGCGATTGACACAGTCACATAAGTTCTACACGTTCAGCTAGAGTGTAACACCTAACGCACGACTCCCTGATGTGTACATGCTCAGCATGTATTCGAACGTGGAACGTTGTACATATCGCTGATCAAAACCGACATGGTGGCCGCCAGTATACTTTATGATGCAGTTCAAGGGCTTCAGCAAGCACATGCGCGTTGTACGACCAATGGGCGACATATGGATTGAATGCGTCATTATGTCAACGGAATGCGGTAGTATGCTGTACACAAATGGGAAGAGGCCGTGAGAATGATGGTCACAGAGCAGGGGGTGGAGTTCTCTGATATAGGAATGATGATGCCCCCCCCTTGATGCCGGCAGCGGAGCGCGGCAATTCGAGGAGGATGGCCGCCCGCCTTTTTTTGCAGTCGCAGGAGTACCTACCCTTTTCTCTCTCCTCGCCGTCTCCCTCGCCTTCCCCCGCTCTCCCCTTCGCAGATGATGTTTAGTTGACTTGCGATTGGTTGCCAACGCTGTCTCGTGAGAGGGCTGTGCGCCAAACAGCCGCACGCCTTTTTTGTCGGGTGTTGCCTTCTTTTCAGCCCCGCCTGCGCGACGGCGTGAGCCAGCAGGTCTTCGTGGATCATCGTGTCCCACACGCGTGCTCGTTGTACATCCTTGAACTAGCCAGCAGCACTGTTTTCCACTGTTGGCTCAAGGGCTCAAGTTCTCAACCTCTGGGGGCTGAGGACGTGCAGCACTGCGCTCCTGGTCAGGTCCAGGGGTATAGGGCTCAAACCTCGGTGTTCCTACCCACCTGTCCCATGCCTTCCACCGGGTACATGCCTGCGACAGCTGCCATGTCGTATGCGATGACCCCGCTGGTCATGATCGCGGAGCTTGATGCCCGTATCATCAGCCTCGAGCAGATGGTTGCAGAAACGCTCCAGCAGGCCATCACCACCTCGCGCCGGAACGCCTTCATGGGCATGCAGCCAAGACGGAGGCCATGCCGCCGCCGCCAATCCAGGGTGCGCTTCCAACTCAATGACATGGACGACAAGGAGAACATTTGCTCCATCGGGCGCGGCATCAAGGATGAGCTTTACCACAGCACCCTCACCTTCGTTATGGACCCGAAGCTGCTTTGCACCAGGTCCGACACCAGCACCGACGCCAGTGATGCTGGACACCGCGGTGGAGTGCACGTTGCCCGACGGCTCTGCCTCTCACCAGCGACGGCACCGACGGCGTCGATCGGGACATTCGGGGGAAAGCAGTGTCCAGCCAATTGAACCTGGATCGGTTCGCGCCTCCGATTCAGGTCCCCACCACCCGGCCCCTGGTTCCCTCGTACATCCTCCATGCCCCGAGCCTCACCAAATGTGTGATACCCTCGCCTGGATCAGGATCAGCGGACTATTGCCTGGCCTGGCGGTTAAACCCGTGGCTGGCGATGGCACCCGCGCCGACGGCAACGACGATATCCACGGGGTCCAACCCGACGCCAGCAACACCCATGACATCAAGGACGACATCGCGGGCGTCGACACCGACACCGACACCAACACTGGCTTCGATTTCGACGTCGGCTCCAGCGGCAGCGCCGCTGGCACCTCCGCCGGTATCCACAACGCGGGCACCTGCGAGCAGAGACCGCAACTCATCGAGCCGTCCAGCACGGAGAGCAACATCTCATTCGTGCTGGGCTTCTGCGTGGGAGCAGGACCCTCAGCACGCCAGGCACTCCCAGCTACTCACCGCAACGACTTCTGCACCTACATCGGCAGCGGGGGCAGCGCCGACTCCATCCGCAGCGGCCTGGACGCGAGCATCCACGCCATCTCCCACGGCAGCACCGACGACAGCACGGACGCCAGCACCAGCATCGACACTCAGCGAGGCCGCCGCCCCCAGCGTCAGCCAGGAGTTCTTGCCGGAGGTGCTTGCGGCCCGCCGCCGGCCCCCGCGGTGCGCCCGATTCTTGAGGGCCCTTCCCGGGCTTCGCTCTTCCCGCAGGAGTTTGTCCCCTGCCCCCGCTACTGTTCGCTGTTTTGTCGGATGTCTTCGTGCGTCGCCTCCAGCGCCCACTTCCCGATGTTGTCCCGCGCGCCTGCGCTGACGACCTGACAGTCGTTTTGGCCCGCGGCGCTGGGGGCGCGCCGGTCTGGGAGCTGCTGTTCGAGTAGCACGAGCGCATTTCTGGCCTTCGACTCCACCATGGAAGAACAGTGTGGCTGCCACGTGCTCTCGACCCAGTGGACGTGATCAGAGCGCAGCTGCAGGCTGGGGCTCCGACTCGGAGCGGCTTTACCATGTGCCGCGACGCATCTTGCCTCGGCTCTGTCGTTGGGCCAGAGCGGGCGGAACGGGCTTGATCAAAGACAGTGGACAAGTTTGTCGCCCGGGCCCGTCTCTGGCGTCTGTCGGTTGTGGTTTCTTCCTGATTTTGTTTGGCATGCCGCATCTACGCGTTTCCAGTTGCCACGTTCCTTGTTGCTGTGGCTGTAGCATGACAAGACACACACACACACTGTAGAGTATGTGCTGGGGTTGGCTCCGTGAATACCAGCCGTTCAATCCGATATTCCTGGTTCCCCTTACCCGGGCCTGGTAGAAGAGGAGTTCCGTGTTGTCGTCCATGCTGTCGCGTCGTCTCTTTCTTCATATGTACATATATATATATATATATATATTTATACTCAGCCATATAAAGTTAAGTTCGTTCGCGCCGCTTCTGGCGTCCAACCTCTCCCGCCCATCCGTGCACCTTGCGTCGTTGTGTGTCCATCTGCGGACGCGTGTCATAGCGGACCTGGGGCTCCCCCAAGGACCCCGCCGTGTTATGCGCACTCGGAGGGGAGAACTGCGTACAAAGGAGGGGGAGGAGGAGGTGGCAGATGAGGATGAAATAAAAGGATGAGTAAGGAGGAGGAGGAGGAGGAGGAGGAGGAGGAGGAGGAGGAGGAGGAGGAGGAGGAGGAGGAGGAGGGGGCAGGAGGAGGAGAAAAACGAGGAGGAGGATGAGGACAAGGGCGAACAACAGCAGTGGGAACTCGAGTGGGAGGAACGGGAGGAGCAGGAGGACTGGGGGAAGGCGGAGGAAGCGAAAGGAGGGGGGCGATGACAATGAGCAATGAGGAAGGACCCGGATCCGGAGAAGTGGCCCGCGGAGGGGCGAAAACGCTACTCTGAGCGACGGGAGCAAAACGCCGATCTTAAACTGGGGCCAGCGCTGCAGCGGCACCACCATTTTAAGGTACCGACGTCGCTCCGATTGAGACAGAGCCATAGGGCAGGCACATGGATGACATTCTCTGTGTAAACATCTTGCGCGGGGGGGGCGGGCGACTCCAGGGCCGTCTCGAGAGGAGAGCAGTATCTATACTAAGTCATCGTTGAGGCGAGGGCCAGGGGGGTGGAAGAGCGGGAAGAAGCGAACAGGGAGGAGGATAGCAGGAGGAATGGGAGGCGACGAGGATGAGGATGAACAGGCGAGGAGAGAAGGAGGAGGCGAGGCACGGTGAAGGTACAAGGCGAGGACAGGGAGGACCATGCGGAAGAGGGGGACGAGGAGGAGACGAGGCGGCGAGGAGGAGCTGGACGACGCGACAGGGGACGCGAGGCGAGAGGGCGAGGGATGAGGCGCGGATGGGTCGCGACGGCGGCGGGGACTTGGGCGCCCCGCGCCCGCGCGGCGCGCACCCCCCGCCCAGGCGCAGAGCGACATCAAGCCGGGCGAGGGCCCCGCCGGCCTGGTCCTGGTGCCCAGCCGCGAGCTCGCCGTCCAGGCGCCCCCGCCCGCCTCCCGCCACCGGGCTTGGCATCGCTCGGACGGGTGCATTTTTCCTTCGGCGAGGACCATCGAGGAACATCCTTGATCATTTGGCGAAAAAAACCACACACACACACGCGAAACCGAAAAAAACACAAGGAATGGACGTCCGAGCGATGGCGAGCGGGCGCCCTCCTCCGCCGCCTCCCGCCCCTCCCGCCCCTCCCGCCCCCCGCCCTGCCTCGCCAGCGGCCCGCCGCCGCCCCCCCCCCCTGCCGCCCTGCGCCGCCGCCCTCCGCCGCCGCCGGCCCGCGCCGCCCAGCGCCGCCCCGCGCCGCCCGCCGCCACCGTCCGCGAGACATTCGGGCCGGAGCCCTTGTGGAGATTCTGTGCTGGAGCCTGTGGGAAAAACACACACACGCACACACACACACAACACACACACAACACACACAACACACAACACACAACACACAACACACAACACACACAACAC